ATTTGCGCCACAAAACCCCTGTGTGTAGGCAGCCTACAGTGTCCACCCTCCCCCCTTCCGACGAATCTTCCTTAATTAATCCGCGCCTGGCTGCAGGTGATGGTCGCGGTGCTGGTCGTGTCCGCCGCGATGTTGGTGGACGGCCGGCGGCCACCCCGGCCGCCCCGCCGCCCTGCCGCCGTGCACGAGAGCTACGACGCGCCGAGCTTCTCATCCTCCGACCAACAGCCTGCGGCCTCCGGACACGGTGAGTGTTTTGGGGGCGAACCTTTGTGACCGAGGTGTACCCGGCTTGGAACCTGACCCGAACACGCGGCGGAGGAGAAAACCGAACCGACGGAGGACCCGGAGGACCGGCCGGCGCCGTGGCGCCATGCGGCGCGCCGGTCTGGCCGAAGAGCAGGGCACCTGGCGCCACGGCGCCCAACACGGCACCGAACAGCGGTGCCTGCTGCAGCTCGAGCCGCCTGCCGCCCGGACGGAGCGAGTCTCTCCAGCATCCATGGCTCCTCCGGCTGCAGCTTTCGCGCCCGCCGCCGCGTCACCGTCGTAAAACCGATTGGGTAGGGACGGGACGCGGCGGGGGCCCCAGCGCCTCTCGGTCAGGGTCGGTGGGGCCGACGTACAATCACCTCACTCCAGAAGAGAAAAGTCTCCTCCTGGGACCTTTAACCAGCCTCCTCCTGGCAGGTCGGCAAAATTGTAGTAGAAATGAGAGCAGGTAAAAAGCATTTTGAGCTCACTTATTGAGCGCTGGTTACTTTCGCTCGAGATCGTTCCAAAACACGGTACCTAACATAGTACATATTTTGTGAAAAAGGGAGGCTTATGAATTATTATTCTTTCGATATTTTTGAACTTAAGTTGATTACGGAGCTGTTGTTGGTCACGCGCAAAAAGAGCTCTTCCGTAGCTCAGGCGTGAGCACACGCGAGCCTAACTAACACCCCGAGCTTTAACCGCTGACGCATTCTTGTTGCAGCCCACCACGGCCGCGTGCAGATCAAGGTGTACCGCGGGCCGGACGATCACCATCACCACGCCCCGCACGGATACTGGGTGAAGCAGCCCGCCGACGACGCCCCGCACCATTGAGGCTGGAGAGCCCCGGACTTCCCTCCCGCCCTGCGTGCGTCTGATCAAGACTGAATTTTGCTGTTTCATTATAATTTTATTAATATTGTTGTTTCCCTTGTGATCTCACTTGATTTCTTGCGCTCTATTGTTATATGTATATATGTGGGCTTTGTCTCAGTGGATTCGGATTCAATCCAATTTGTTTTATATTTTATTGGAATAAAGTTGTGTTTTTTAAAATTATTTTGCTTGCCTATTTGATTTGAACACTTTCACTTGTCTAATAATTTCCCTGACTGGTACAGTATGTACGTACTGTAACTTGGCATACAAGAAGTGTGGCACCACCGCCCGGCCCATAGGCAACTTATTGTACACGTCTGTGTCCCCCTCCC